GGCTTTGCTCCCGGTGCCTCTGGTCTGCTGGGGACCATCTCCAGCAGACCAGGGACACCGGGAGCAAAGGAGGCGGAGGGGCGCTGGGGTATAAGATGAAACCCTATCTTTTAATTAAAAAGATAGGGGGTCGTCTTATACACCCAGTCGCCCTATACACCGGAAAATACGGTATTACACTTTGGGCATGTCTTCATTACCCGCAGGATTGACAGGCAGCAATTGATCCAGGGGAGGTTGTTTTATTATGTCTGATACTGATGCGATAAATTAACCGCTGAGCATTCTCCTGTCAACTCTGGTACTCCATTTAATGGAAAGCATGGGTGGAGTCGATGGGAGAGTATTATCTGTCAAGTTACCATGGTGAAGATACTGTGGTAAACAGATCTTAAGTACGTCAACTTCAGCTACTTTATTCACATAGCTAAAGTTGCATAACTTAGACCAACAGCCCACTGTAGTGCAGACTAAGTCTTAGAATGTATCTTCTTTTGTAACATTTTCAAATGTTACCTCTTTTCCCATGAGTAAATTGTACTGGAAAGTGTCATGTTTTATAAAATTTTCTAAAAAATAAATAGTAAAGTACAACCTCTTCAAAGTACAGCTGCCCTTGTAGAAAATATGCCAGAGGATCTCCATCTATGATCCTCTTCGCCAACAGCTCCTCTGCCCTTGTAAACAAAGCGGTATGGCTATAGTTCCCTGCTAAAAACAGATATACACGTGTCTAAACACAACAAACAGAATATTGTAAGCACACTATTACACTTAAATTGTAATAGTTCTCTTTTTTACCCTGACAGACATAATTAAGATGTTTCCTTTTTGTTGTATGCTCCATAGACTTAGCTAAAACAGATCAATGTTTTATAATAGAAGAAAGAATCTATAATAAAGATAACTGAACCTTTATGGAACAGTCTACTTTTCCACAAAAATGCTATATGTATTCGTGTGATGGGGACCTGATCTCAGTTGGTGGAAAACCATAATACAAATAACAAATTCCCTTATACAGTAAAACTCCAATTGTCTGACATCCAGTGATCCGGCACTCCTGATAGTCCAGCACCAACTGGAACCCAGAAGTGCTACAGCCAGCTGGATAATTGGAGCTGCCCAGAGGCAGCAGTGGAGAGGGGGCGAGAGGCAGGCAGCTGTTTAACGCAGGCGGGCGGGAGGAGCAGAGGGGGCGTGGCGAGGGGCGAACTCTCTGCTGTGTTGCAGGGAGGCGGTGGAAGCCCCGCACAGCTGGCTCGCAAGTGGCGGTGGCGGAGAGGGGGCGAGAGGCAGGCAGCTGTTTAACGCAGGCGGGCGGGAGGAGCAGAGGGGGCGTGGCGAGGGGCGAACTCTCTGCTGTGTTGCAGGGAGGCGGTGGAAGCCCCGCACAGCTGGCTCGCAAGTGGCGGTGGCGGAGAGGGGGCGAGAGGCAGGCAGTGTTCCCCGCCCGCCTTAAACAGCTGCCTTCCTCTTGCCCCCTCTCCGCCACCGCCACTTGCGAGCCAGCTGTGCGGGGCTTCCACCGCCTCCCTGCAATACAGTGGAGGGTTCGCCCCTCGCCATGCTGTTCCCCGCCAACCTTCCCCCCCTCCACGCAGTGCGGGTCCCGGGAGACCCCTCACGGCACCCCGCCGGAGTACCTCCCGATACTCCGGCATAGCCGATAATCCGGCACCCCCTGGGTCCCAAGGGTGCCAGATTATCAGAAGTCTACTGTACAAAGATTATCTGCCATGTAAACATGAATTGCTAATGTTTGGAATCAATTAAGATCTAAGCTAAACAGAAGATATCAGTCAATTTACAGATGATTAAAAACTCCATTCGAAACTGACAGCCAAATCAGGAAATATCATTTTAAACCCTGATCTTTCAATCTGGTGCATGGGGCTCCACGTAGGCACAATAGTACATCTACTTTAAGTTAAGGATGCAAAAGACTAGTCAACTAGTCGACTATCTGATAAGCATTTGCTTATCAGATAGTATTTTGACTAGTTGATATTCCCCCCCGCCACTTTTCTGCCTCTATAAAATAGAAGCAGCAAAGGTGGGGGGAAGGGGAGGGGGAGGAGGTGTACTTCAAGCTGTGCATCAGCTGCGCATTTAAAATGCTGCCTGTATGCCTTTCAAAGGGGCAGCAGTGGAGCCCAAGATCAACTGGGAACTCCCCAGCTGATCCTGGGCTTCCCGCGGCATTTCCCCAGAACCCGGGATGTGCTGGGGACTCTCAGCTGATGCCAGGCTCCCCGTGGCAGCAAAACCCCAGCTGATCCTGGGACTCCCCAGCTGATCCCAGGTTCTGGGGAAATGCTGCTGGGAGCCTGGAGTCAGCTGAGGAGTCCTCAGCTGACCCCGAGTTCCAGTGAAGTGTTGCGTGGAACCCGGGGCCCTAGCGGCATGCAGTACAGCATGGAGCCTGGGGTCAGCGGGGAACTCAGTCCCCCACTGACCCTGGGCTCCATGGCTTTGAAATGCACCAGAGCCCCCACTGGGGATTCTTGTGCATTTCAAAGCAAACACCCACGTGCAGCCTTGAGTCAGTCGGACTTCCCACTGGCCCCGGGCTATATGCAGAGTTCCGCATTCCTCCTTTAAAATGTAAAAGAGTCCCAGTAGGGGCTCTTGTACATTTCAAAGGAGGAATGTGGAAGTGCCTATCGACTAGTGTATGGAAATTCCATTGACTAGTCGACTAGTCAATTAACCGCATTATAACATCCTTACTTTAAATATGTTGCAGGAGATGGGCCTTACAGAGACTAAGAAAGAGAAAAGGAAGGAGAGACATTGTTTCATATGCTAGGGCATGAGGTACCTAAGTGATTGACCTGATTTAGGTGCTAACTCCAGAAGAAAAGCTGGTGAACCCAAGCAGAGGGAAGTGCATATGTTTGGCCTCCAGTCAGTTGCACCAGGTCTACTGCATAGACGTGTATATCCCCTTCTCCAAAGTTCTCTTCTGGCTATCTTATGTTACTCCCCATTCAGCTAGCTGGCTTTTGAAATTGCTTCTGTAAGGGCCTAACTCTCTCAATATATTTATAGGATGCCTAGCTCAAGGCTCAAAATTCCTCAGGGACACACTGCATACGGGGCTAAGCACTGCAATGCCTAAGTATCCTTGAGGATCTGAGCCAAAGTCACTCTGAAAATGAGACTCCAAGGCTAGATTTTCAAAGGTATTGATGTGCTTCAAGATACAGATATGTCCCTAAGTGGGCTTTTCAGAGCCTAGCAAGTTACACATTAAAATCCTATTTAATTAAGTGTCCATCTTCTTGGGCACTTTGAAAATCTCACTAGGTGAATATCTGTACCTTCATAGCCTAAATACCTTTGAAAATTTGATCCTCTGACTCTTAAGTTTGTTAGGCTTTTTTTGAAAATTTTACCCTAGATCTCCCAAGGTTTGCCACTGACTTGCTATATGATCTTAAGTCACTTCATTTCTATGCAAGTCTGTGTCGAATATGGGAGTGATGATAACATCAGGATTATTTTGAGACTGTGCTTAAAAAGCATTTTAAATTTGTCAGGTGAAAGGAGTTATATAAGTGCAAAGAATTATTTTTATTAATAAAATCTCAGTTATGATACTCTCAATGCCTTTTTATGACTTTCCCAACTGAGTAAGATCTTTTTCTGATTATAGTAAAATTTTGTGAACAAGCTGAGCTTTTAATCAAGTACATCATACTTTACTAATTTTAATGGTGAAATCTTTATTTCTGACAACAGAAAATGGAAGAATCAGTAGAATCAGAAACAGGAGGGGAACAGTAAAGAATTACAGGCAGCCAGGGGAGCTAAGTTAACATGCTTATAAATGGAAAGAAGAGAGACTACATTGAACTGGAGCAGGAAAAAAGGGGAGGGGGGAGAAATTAGAAGATCATACAATGAAAAAATGGCTATTCCTCTTGAATATTTTGTCCCATTTATCTGCTTCCAGAACCTTCATATTTTCTGCAAGCATTTCAAGTAAAAAGGGAGAACAAACTCACCCCAATACTGCCAAGCTAAAAGTCTTCATAAATTGCTGGGCCTGCTTAAGTGTACGAGACTGGCTTAAAAATCATCAGACTTTAAAAAGCAATACACTCTGTGTTTTTTTTATTTGATGTATTGCTTCTGATCCAGAAGGCAACAATCAGTTCAGGTTAGCGCACATTTTTCCCAGCAATCATGAGGTCTATACAAGCATGCAACTAAGTGGTTTTTAACCACAAAAGCTTATACCCAAATAAATCTTTCAGACAGGTAGCCAAGTTAGTCTGTAACAAGAAAAACTTAAAAAACAACAAATAGTCTGGTAGCACTTTAAAGACTAACAAAATATGTAGCTGGTATCATGAGTTTTCGTGGGCACAGCCCACTTCTTCAGATGACTGGAGTGTCAGACCAGTCATCTGAAGAAGTGGGCTGTGCCCACGAAAACTCATGATACCAGCTACATATTTTGTTAGTCTTTAAAGTGCTACCAGACTATTTGTTGTTTATTAAGTTTTTCCAAATAAATCTGTTAATCTTTAAGGTGCCACAGGATAAGGGCTTCAGGAAAGGTTATGCAGACAGTCAAACTGCCACTGCTTGACATGGCAATCTACCTTTTTTAATGTCATGTACCAAGAATGACTTTGTGCTTCAGTGAATATTATCACTGATTTCTGTTTTACTTCAGTCAACACTAATCTCTATGGGTGCCTCTACACTGCACCCAGAGCTCAAAATAAACTACGCAATGTGTGCTACACAAATTGCGTAGCTTATTTCAAATTACTTTCAAAATAGAGCGCTATTCTGAAACAGCCCTTATTCCTCGTGGAACAAGGCTTACAGGGATGTCAGAATAGTGAGCCCGTCATATTTCAAAATAACGGGCTTGCTCAAAAGATACAAAATAGCTATTTTGTGATACTTCCAGTATCTCGAAATAGCTCCGCAGTGTAGATGTAGCCCAAGACAATAAAGTCTCATGTTCCTTGTCAAGGCTAAATCCCCAGTCTGGCACGATAAGTGCAGAAGTGGGGGCCCACAAAAGCAACCCCAAAACCTTCTTTCCAGGCTTTGGTATAAAGCTTTCCCCCAAAATCTTAAAAACCTAGATTTTGGGGATAAAAGTCCACTGCCACCACCCAAGTAATGGTTAGAAAACCAGGTAAGAGATCACTTGGGAAATCTCAGCCCTAAAGTAAAACCAGGACACACAAAAATTAACCAATACCAGGTTAATAATAAAAGTTCTCTCTTTTTTTTTTTATCACCACAATACTCCTGTTACAAGCATAATGACTAGATGGAAAAGTCACCAATTAATATACTAATGGGGAACACCAAGGGGCCAAAAGCTTAGTTATAAAGGAGAGAAAACCCCATTTTTAAATGCACAGACATCAGCTTCCCATTCCCAAACCATAAAACGTAACGGATTTATCTAAATTTCACCCTACCTACAGATAGTGAAGAGTCTTTTCTTGGAGAGAGAGACATGTCTGTCTCCCTCAGTATCTGGAGAGAAACTGCTCAGGGAAAAACCAAAAATTCATTTGTCCCAGTTTGAAATTCCTATTTGCATTTCTATTGGCTGCCTGCTACCTGGTTAGGTATAGGGACATAGTTAACCCCTTAGTCCCCAGGCTGCTGGCTAATCCTCATGGTCATGACATTCCTCATCACTGTGGCTGTGTCTACACTGGCGCAATCTCGCGCAAAAGCGGCCGCTCTTGTGCAAAATCTTGCAGCCTGTCTACAGTGGCCACGTGTTCTTGCGCAAGTAAACTGACGTTCTAATGTATAAAATCAGGGCTTCTTGCACCAGAACTCTAACACTCCCGCTCAGGAATAAGCCCTCTTGCGCAAGAGCTCTTCCAGAAAAGGCCAGTGTAGACAGGCAACATGAATTTCTTACACAAGAAAGCCCTATGGTTAAAATGGCCATCAGAGCTTTCTTGTGCAAGAGAGCGTCTACACTTGCATGGATGCTCTTGCGCAACAGCACATCTCTTGCGCAAACGCACATGCTAGTGTCAACGCTCTCTTCTGGAAGAGTTTTTGCAGAAGAACTCTTCGACAAAAGAGTTTTTGCGCAAGAACGTGCCAGTGTAGACGTAGCCACACATATGTAATAAAATCAAGGTGAAATCACCAATGTAGTTGTGCTGCTCTGCATTTCAGTGAAGATCCTATTACACCAAAAGGAGAGCCTATCCCATGGGTGTAATTAATCAAAATCCAAATGTCGCTTCTGCTGAGGTAACTCATTCACTAAAAGGGCAATGCCTTGGGCAGAAGGGGCAGGACTGGGGAAGCCATTCCCCCCATGAAAACCACTTAGACCATGCATTCTGGCAGCAATTTAAAGGCCCCGGAGTTCCAGCTGCTGCCACTCCTGCAGTACTGGCAACAGGTGGGAGCCCTGGGCCCTTTTTAATTGCTAAGCCCCAGGGCAGGTGCCCTCTTTCCCCTGGTCAGCAGACCCACTCAGCCCAGGGCAGTGGGGCACTGGCATTCAGTATGGAGCTGACAATTCCAGCTCTCTGCCCCAGGGTAGTGCAGCTCCAGCTGTCAACCCTGCAAGTGGCTAACAGCTCAGCATGTCAGCCCCCAGCCATGTCCCATTTAAGTTGGTGCACATGCTAGTGGTGAGTATATGCACCACTGGCAGGAGGACAGCATGGACATGAACAGTCAATTTAATTACTGAAATAGCTGTTGTGAGATAGATGTAAGCTAGGGATGTAAATGAATAGTCAAGTCAACTACTTGACTAATCACTTTCCTCTGCCCCTTCCTGCCTCTATATCAGAGGCAGCAAGGGGGGGGAGCTAGCTTAAAAGCCAGTTACTCCCAGCAGTGTTTCTGTGGTGCTACAGCGTGGGTGGGGGGCAGGGGCGGTTGTCATGAAGCAGCCTCTGTTGGCAGCAGGCCCAGGGTTTCTGCAGG